TGAGGACATGGATACATATGTGTTTGCCGTTGGCACTCGCAAAGCTTTGGTGCGGCTGCAGAAAGAGATGCAGGATCTGGTATGTCAAGTTGCTCCAATATCAATGTCTGTAGACACTGCCTCTTTTTTACAGAGAAGTTCAGCTGTGTAGCACAGCACCGTTCCGTCACTCAGACGTTAAGCACCACTCCAGAATAGGCAGAACATACTTAACCTTTGAGGAAAGTCTGTATCATAGAATACCATATTTCCTGTTCTCATTTTCTTCTTCCAGAGCGAGTTCTGTAGTGATAAACCTAAGTCTGGAGCAAAGTATGGACTGCCAGACTCGTTGGCCATCCTGTCGGAAATGGGAGAAGTCACAGAGGGCATGATGGACACAAAGGTAAATGCAGTGGAGATGTGTGCAGTTGTGCACAGTGGTAAATGCAGTGGAGATGTGTGCAGTCGTGCACAGTGGTAAATGCAGTGGAGATGTGTGCAGTCGTGCACAGCGGTAATGGCAGCAACTCCAGAGGTTAAGGCAAGAGGATCATGTTCCAGACAGGCTAAGGAGTACAGCTAGAGACTCTGTCTCCAAAAGAATAAGTAAATAAAAATCGCATACTAAATTTTATTTTACTCATTTTTGAAACAGCAGGTAAATAATCCGTGACTGCTGACCACTCATGGTAAACATTTTCTGTGATCCTTAGAGTCACCTCGCTGATTTTGATCGATTGGGTAAACACAGCACAGCCTTTACTTGTTCTAGAAGCAGTAGTAAAACCACGCCATTTTAATGAGGCTTTGAGCAGCTCTCATGTTGAAGAGGTACCTCCCTGAAGCTGAACCAGGTCCTCTCCGATGCCGTACATTAGTTACAGTCGTGTACCCCTTCCTCACACTGGTCATAACCCGTCAGAGGGCTGTCAGTCAAACCATAAGGACTCCAGTGTGTATCTCAATGTCTGCTTGGCGAGCCAAGGGTCCCATAACTTCAGCTTTGAGGGATATGGCGCTCTTCTGGCTTCCCCAAGTACATTGTGCTTGAACACACACACACACACACACACACACACACACACACACACATATTCTTACAATAAAATAAAAAGTTCTCTCCAAAAGAACTAATGACTTTTAAAGGTTTTTGGTTTGAGTTTTGTTGTTGTTTTGGGTTTTTTTTTAATTTTGTTTTTTGTTGTTTGGTTGGTTGGTTGGTTTTGGTTTTTCGAGATAGGGTTTCTCTGTAGCTTTGGAGCCCATTCTGGAACTAGCTCTTGTAACCAGGATGGCCTTGAATTCAAGAGATCTGCTTGCCTTTGCCTCCCCAAGTGCTGGGATTAAAGGCATGCGCCACCACTGCCCCGGCTTGTTTTGTTTTTTGAGACAGTACAGAGTCTCATTATGTAGTCTTGTGTATCTTGGAGCTCAAAGAGGTCTGCCTGCCTCTATCCACCAAATGCTAAAATTAAAGGATGTGCTAACACTCCAAGCCCACTTTCAGGTGCTTTGGTGGACTTTTTGTTGTTGTTTGTTTTGTTTTAAATATTACAGCCTTGGGGCTGGAGAGGTGGCTCAGTGGTTAAGAGCTCTGAGTTCCCAGCACAATTCTCAGCTTCCACATGGCAGCTCACAGTTATCTATAATTTCAGTTCTAGGGGACCCGACACCCATGGCAGAACACCAATACACATAAATTTAAAGAAAAGATTACAGCCTTAATCCTTTGGTGGTGACATTTAAGTCATTTTGAGTTTGTTCGTATAAGTAAAGATGGGCACATAGGGCAGGCACTGTGATCCCGTCATGGCAGAGGCTAAGGCTGGAGGATGGCTACAGAGAAGCGTTTCTTTAAGCTAAAGTTGAGGCCTGATCTGATGGCTCATTAAGTTTTTTGTTTTTTGTTTTGTTTTTCAAGAAAAGAGTATTTTAGTCTGAATGACTGAATGACATTATATAAAAGTAAGGATTTAAAGGTGACTATAAAAGCTTGGAAATGCCAAACTCTAGTTAATATTCTTTCCTTTTTTTTTTTTTTAGATGGTTCACTTTCTTACACACTATGCTGACAAGATTGAATCCGTCCATTTTTCAGACCAGTTTTCTGGTCCAAAGATAATGCAAGAGTATGTATGAAATAAAGTATTAAAATTTATTTTCCCTATTTTATGTTAGAACGCTACAAGGGACCTCTGCAGTTTCCTTATCAAGTGGGGAAGTAAACTTGGTAACAAATGGCCTCCCAGTTAGCGCACCATGAGAAGACACTGGCTGCCTCCCCGAGCCAGCATGTTTGCATCACTGACCCAGTGACGTTCACAAGGAAGGGCTGGTGCTAAGACATCGCAGTTGGCACACCCTTTCCCATTTCTGAATTTCTGATGTTTGATTTTAAATACAAATCTAAGTATTTCATATTTTATCATCTTTTCTCGCTTCGCTTTTGAACAGCTGAATGTTTTCAAATGACATTGACTATAATGACATATAAATGACATATAAAACCATAGTTTCTGGTTTTATGACAGTATTGTTCATGGGCTTGGATTTGTTCGTTGAATTTGCAGCCAGTCTCTGGAAAGCATAACTAAATATACTTCTGATAGAGAATGAGTTGTGACCTGAATTATTAGTTGCAGGCTAGTCTCATATGCTTTGGGATTGAGTACAACTAAAAGCCATTCTGTACAGGCGTGGTGGCACAAGTCTTTGATCTCAGCTTTTAGAGGCAGGAGCAGAAGGATCTCTGAATTCTAGGCCTGCCTGGTTTCTATAGTGAGTTATCAGCCACCTAGGGATAAGCAGTGAGACTCGGTGTCAACAACAGACATTCTGGGAGCTGTGTTCATTTTCCAATACCAGAATAAGAGTAGCAGCAACAAAAATGTATTCTGGATTTAGTTGTATGTGGAGATTACTCAGGTCCTTATGCTTTGAGATGATGTTGCATCATCCTCGCCTTGGTAAATTTAGTAATAACAGCAGGCACCAAGCATTGCATTATAGCTTTTACCAAGCCTTTTGTTTGCAGTGGAGCAGAAGCCAATTGTTTGACAGTCAAAATTTGCAGTGATAATGACAGAAGAAAATTATAAACAGTGCTTGCTCCGAGTCCATGAGGGATTGTTGGTTGAATAACCCGCACCTTACCAAGTTCTCAGGATGCTTGAGTCTCCTACATAAAGTGATGTGTTTTCAGTAACATACATAGCCTTTTCCACAAGAAACCCTCTGTGGATTCTTGTAATACCTGATACAATGCGGGTGTTATTAAGTAAATGTTATACTGTATGCCTCAACTTTTAGAGAATAATGACCAAGATTAAAAGCAGAAGCTGAGGGTTGGAGAGATGACTTGTAGTTGAGAGTGTGTTGCTTATGCAGAAGATCAGGGACCATGGCTTGGCTCCCGGCTCCCTCGTGGATGCTAAAAGCTGTTCTGATTCCAGTTGCAAGAGGTTTGACACCGTTTGCTGGCCTGTGTGGGCACTGCATACTACATACATACATGCAGGCAAAACACTCATATACGTAAGATAAATATAAGCTTAGAAATTTAAAAATTAAGCAAAAATATTTAAAATATGGCCTCAGATTTAAATACAGGCATATTTCTGGCTCCTCAGGTGAAAGGGAATAAATATATCCTGCCCGCTGGGAACATCACTGAGGTTTCAAATGTAGCACAGAGTGGGGTAGATGAGCTTAAAGTGCTCTCAGGCTCAGTGATCACCATTGACTTAGAGATGCCGAGTGTGTCCAGTGCTGTTCTCTCAGGTGTTTGCCCAGCTGAGGCAGATGGCTGGCTTGTATGCATGGAAAGTGCCTGTCTTCGCTTCTCTCTTACCAGACTTCTCTTTCATGACAGGGAGGGTCAGCCTTTAAAGCTGCCCGACACTAAGAGGACACTACTGTTTACATTTAATGGTGAGTATCTGGGTCCTGTCTGGCTAGTTCTTAGCCTCTTAGAAACTGGTTTTCAATTATTTTTCCATCACTAATCATTCCTCCTTGTTGGTTTCTGGGTTCCTCTAAGGAGCTAGTCTGTTAGCATTAAGAAAGACTGCCAACCCAGAAGTGTTAATGCTGCCATTAACTCAGTAGGAAAATGGCTTTGTTTTCCAGTGCCTGGCTCAGGTAACACGTACCCAAAGGATATGGAGGCTTTGCTACCCCTGATGAACATGGTGATTTATTCTATTGACAAAGCCAAAAAGTTTCGACTCAACAGAGAAGTAAGACCCAAAGCCTTTCTTACAAACCGGCACCTTTTATGGTTGGTTTTCCCCAGTGGCTGCAGCTGTCAGTGGCTGCAGCGACTGAGTCTAGTTGACTTGACATGCCAGGGGGAGTAGTTTTACCAAGGAATGCTCAGTGGGGTTTTCTCCTGTGGGATGGAAACGGGTTTCTTATGAAGACTTTGTTTCCTGGGGAAGGGTAAACAACGAGCAGATAAGAACCGGGCCCGTGTGGAAGAGAACTTCTTGAAACTGACCCACGTGCAGAGACAGGAGGCTGCGCAGTCGCGGCGTGAGGAGAAGAAAAGAGCCGAGAAGGAGCGGATCATGAATGAGGAAGACCCTGAGAAGCAGCGCAGGCTGGAGGTGAGATGCTCCCCACCACTGAGGCTGCTGGGTCTGGTTTATATGTTTTTTATGTTATGTCATCTCTCCCTTTTCGTCCTTCCAAAACTTCCCATATATCTAGTCCTTCCCCCAGCTCTCTTTGAAGCTAATGACCTCTCTCTCTTTGTTGTTGCTGGTGTGTGTGTGTGTGTGTGTGTATCTAAATGTATAAACACAACCTGTTCAGTCTTTATAGTGTTTTTTTTGTATATTTTCTGGACTGTCCTTTTAGTATTGGGTAACTAGTTAGTGTGCTCTTGCCTGGGGAAGATTATTTCTCCTGCTCTCAGAGTTCTTTAGTTGCTTGTAGTTCTTTGTCTAAGGTTGAGGCTTTGTGAGAATTTCCCAAAACTATTGTTTTGTTTTTAGTTATCCAGATATGGGATGGAGAGGTGGGTCAGAGGTGAAGAGCACTGGCTGCTCTTGCAGAGGTCCTGAGTTCAATTCCCAGCACCCACATGGCAGCTCACAGCTGTCTGTAACTCCAGTTCTAGGGGATCTGGCTCACTCACACGGACACACCTGCAGGCAAAACACCAGTGCACATGAAAATAAATAAATCTTAATTATCCCGCTGCCTGTTTGTGCTGTACTGTCTCTGATAATTCTGTGTAGAAAGCACCTGGGCTAAAGTTGGGAAATGTCATCTGACAGCACCGTGTTCCTCTTCCAGCCATCCTAAGCTGCGTTCGTGCCTCTGGAAAGTGAGTGGATTCCCCTCTTTCCCCAGCACAGCTCCATTTCAGACCAAACAATTAGAAAGAAATCAGGGACTTTAAATAAGCTGACATACACACCTCACATTTTAAATAAACTTGCCATTTAAAATTAGGGCTTGATACAGAATTAGTGAATTCTAGTGTTTCTGTGGGTTTTGTTGTCGGTTTCTGTTTCTTATATAACTGATATTCCAAACTTGTGATTCTTGGACAATAGCATGTTACATTTAAAAAAAATTCAGTATATTCTCATATTTCCTGAAATAAGATGCCAAAGTCCAACTGTAAACCTTGCAAATGAAAAAGAGAACAAAGTTCTGGAAGATGTGAGTTTAGACGAGAATTTTTGAGTCTTGAATAACATTTTTCAGAGTAAGGGAGGCTCCGAGTTGCTGCTGTGTGACCGTGTGGTTGCCGACAGCCAGTCACTAATGCTGCCTGTGCGGCTCAGGAACCCTTAGTGCTGCTCCTGTGCCTCATGCTTGCTTCCCTTCCTCTCTTCCTTTTCTTTTCCTCCCCTTCCCTTCTCCTCCCTTCCGTTCCCTTCTCTCTCTCCTTTATAAGTTTTTATTTTATATATATATGTGTATATATATATATATGGTGCTCTATTTGCATGTACACCTGCAGGCCAGAAGAGGGCATCAAATCTCATTACAGATGGCTGTGAACCACCGCGCCAATGCTCTTAACTCTTAACCCCTTAACCTCTGAGCCATCTGGGTTTCTCTTTCTCCTCTTCTCCCCTCCCCTCCCCTCCTCCCCTCCCCTCCCCTCCTCCTTCTTCCTCTCTCTCTCTCTTTCTCTCTCTTTCTCTCTTTTCTATGTAATGAGGTTAAAAGACAAACCCTTGTGGGTTTTTTCTTGCTTTATTTTTTGCTTTTTTTCATGTCCTCCTGCTTTCATGATTTTGTTTGGAGAGACAGACGGACAGGGCAGGGGTGGTGGTAAAGAGGGACACACAGACACGTGTACAGAGCACAAACTCTGGAGTCATTTGAAAAGTGCTGTCCATCTTTGTGTGTTGTGCTGGCCTTGTACATGCTAGGAAAGTGCTTTACTAGTCCTGTGTTTTTGCTGGGGAGAGGGGTGTATAGGGACAGGATATCTCTCTGTACTCTCTCTGCACTCACTTAGTAGGCTAGGCTGCCTGGCCAGTGTCACTCCTCCTCAGCAAGCGCCTGCCACCACTCCAGACTTACACAGGCTCTAGGATGTACTCGGGTCCTTGTGCTTGTAAGACAAGCGCTCCATTGACTGTGCTGTCTCTCTAGCTTCTGGTTTTATTTTTTTTAATTAATTGGTTTTTTGTTTTGTTTTGTTTTTTTGAGACAGGATTTCTCTGTATAGCTCTGTTCTGGAACTTGCTCTGTAGACCAGGCTGGCCTCGAACTCTCAGAGATCAGCCTGCCTCTGCCTCCCCAGTGCTGGGATTAAAGGTGTGTGCCACCACTGCCCGGCTGCTTGACCTGTTTTTATCTTTAATAATGTGTCTACTTGTGGATAAGAGATGCCCAAATAGGGTTGGAGCTTGAATTACAGAGTTATAGGTGGTTGTGCGCTACCTGGTTGGTGCTAGGAACCAAACTCAGGCAGGTCCTCTGGAAAAGCAACAAATAGTCTTAAACATTAGACCATCTCTTTAGCCTCCATTCATGGTCTTAATTGCAATTTCTAGGTTAGCAATGGCTAAATAATGAGACTATCATTTAAAAGAGGGTGGGGTTTGAATTTAAGTTCAGCTTGGGTAACTTAGTGAGAGACCTTGTTTCAAAGAAAAGAAACACATGCAAGGCAAAAACTTTGATGAGTTTCTATCTAAATTAATATTTGATTATCTGGGGGCTGGAGAGATGGTTCAGTGGTTAAGAGCACTGGCTGCTCTTCCAGAGGTCCTGAGTTCAATTCCCAGTGATCATATGGTAGCTCACAACCACCTGTAGTGAGATCGCGCGCCCTCCTCTGGCGTGCAGGCATACATGGAGGCAGAATGTTGTATACATAATAAATATGTAAGTCTTAAAAAAAAGGATTTGATTATCTTTTTTTGTTTCTTGTTAATTTTTATTTACTGACATATGAATTGGCAATGTTTTTGTCTTTTGAAACGATGTCTCATAGCATAGATTGGCCTGGAACTATGTAGCCAAAGTTAGCCTCAAAGTGCAATCCTCCTGCCTTAGTCTTCCAAATGCTAGTGCTTATTTTTATATGTATCTGCAAAAATGTTTCCTGGGTTGCAAGACCAAGATCTTGAATAAAAGGCCCACACCTTTAATCCCAGCACTTGGGAGGTAGAGGTATGCAGATATCTATGAATTCCAGGTCAGCCTGGACTACACAGTGAGTTCCAGGAAAGCCAGAACTGTATGAAGAGATCCACTCCTTCTTCCCAACTCCCCAAAAGGGATTTTGAGTTATACGGGTGAGTAGAGGTGCCCACGGAGACCAGAAGCCTCCAGTGAGCTGCCTGACGTGTGCTGGTAACAGAACTTGCGGCAGCTGCAGAGCAGCATGAGCTCGAGCCACCAAGCTGGTTCTCCAGCCCCCAGTTTTTTTCAGTGTGTGTTTAGAGCTTAATTTGGATCTTTCGTTCCCCCTCCCTATTTTACAGGAAGCTGCTTTGAGGAGAGAACAAAAGAAGTTGGAGAAGAAGCAGATGAAAATGAAGCAAATCAAAGTGAAAGCCATGTAAAGTCATCCCAGAGGTCTGCGTCCACAGGAAACGGGAAAAGCACGAGTCCGTTTCTCCCCTAAAGTCAACATATTCCTGGTGACTGAGAAATCCTTATTCCACCCTCCCCTCTTCTCCCCTCCTCCCACCTCTTCTCTCGGTTTGGAGTTCTACAGAGGTTACAGATACATTGAAAGGGCTCTTTCAGTTATTTCCTTCCAGATAATCAAATTAGTTTTTTTTATAAAAGGATGGTATATAAAGTATGTGTAGTTTTAAAATATTTTTAAATTATAACATGAATTATCAGTGCTTTACTTTGGTGTTTGAAGAACAATCATGGAATTTATAGAAAGATTTTTTTTTAAACTGGGCAATTAGAATAACTGTGGAGACTGACTCTAAACAAGATCCCAAGAATTTCTATTGGAGTTGCACAATAAACATTGCTTGGTGTTTTTCCTGTGTCCACATTACAGTTGTGAAAACAGTGGAATTTAGAGCACTGTATGTGGTGATGCATTTCAGAGACTTGGAACATAGTGCAGTGTGTATTTCATGTGTGTGTTTATAGGAGGAAATCTAGAGGTGTCATGGAAGATTCTAGAGGTGGGTAGTACAGGAACAGTTTCTCCTTGCCTGGTACTATGAGCTAATGACAGTGTGAGCCCTGAATTTGGAGTAGTTTTGTTTTTCCTGAGGAAGATGCATGAGAAGTGAGCTGCTTCCCTTAGCTCAGATCACTGCTCTGTGAGGTCACAGTGCTTTTCCTGGTGGCTGCAACCTGTTGGGTCTTCACGGAGAAGCTGCTGTCTGTCTTCTGCGTGCTCCTTTCTTCTCTCTCCACTTCTGTCTTGCCTACAATTGAGGCCGGTATGTGCTTTTAGAAACACAGCCATCGGTGTGCATAAGTAGGCTTTTAAAATGTGAGCCTTCTTAAATGCGACAAGAGTTTTGTCTGCCTCTTGAGGTGGAAGCTTTTGTGGGGAGAGGCCCCCATCTGCATAAGCATTTGGCTTGTTGAGAGCTCTGCATTTTATAAATGCTTCCTACTGAGAAAGCATTTTTTTTAAGTCACTGTTTATACCAGGTAATTTTTGCTGGGATGGGAAAGAGTTGTTTTTTTGAGGGGTGGTGGGTTTTTGTTGATGCTTTCTGTGTTCTCAGGCAGTAACAGTGAGTTGCAGTGAAAACCATGTGAGCTGTTGCCTTGGGGATTATATGGAGTTTCTCATGTGACTTTGTCTAGGTTAATAGAAATGTGTGCACTGGGTATGCAGGTGTATGCTTTTTTAACAATTCACAAGGTTAAGTTATTAAGAATAACAAAATTGAATCACTTTAAGGCCATATGATTCTAGACTTAACATTGTTTTACAAACCTTTAAGATACATTTTAGAATCAAAATTTATGTGCTTAGTTATCTTTTGAGTAATATAAGCTTTCTTAAAGTCCCACAAATTCGGACTGTGGCAGCTAATTTTGTAATTTAAGCATTCATATGAACTACCTATGACATATATTAAAAACTGATTGACAGAATCTGAGCGTGCCTCGTTGACTTTTTGAAGTCGTCCTACAAGAATATATGGACCCATAGGAAAGTTCTCTCACCATTAAAAATTAGCACTAAAATGGTTTTCCTTCAAGAGTGTTAATCTTGAATATTCCTTTGTAGTTACCACTTAACACTTTTGGATATTTTATATTCTTTTTTTTTTTTAAGATTTATTTATTGATTATGTATGCAGCTGTACCTGCACACCAGAAGAGGGCACCAGATCTCATTACAGATGGTTGTGAGCCACTATGTGGTTGCTGGGAATTGAACTCAGGACTTCTGGAAGAGCAGCCAGTGCTCTTAACTGCTGAGCCATCTTTCCAGCCCCGATATTTCATATTCTAAACCCATGTATGTTGCTTCAGAAAGGGTCTCGCTGTGCAGCCCAAGTTGGCCACAGTCAAACTCATGGTTCTCTTGCCTCAGCCTCCTGAGTGCTGGGAATACTGGCACATACACACTGCACTGTGGCCCATGTTATTTTTGATTTTTTGTTTGTTATTTTAATCTTGTTTTTTTGAGACAGGGTCTTACTGTGTAGTGCTGGCTGTCCTAGAACACATCAGTGTGGACCGGGCTGGCCTTGAATTTAGAGATCTGCTTACCTCAGCCTCCTGAGTACTGGGGTTAAATGTGTATGCCACCACGGCCAGCCTACCCTAAGATTACTAGTTATTAGTGAGTTATTAAGCTCTTATTAGTCAGCTTTCTATCGCTGTGGCAAAATAGCTAGGATAATAAAGCTTCAAATAGGAATAAGTTTTTTGGGGATCACAGTTTCAGTTCCTGAACTGCCCTCTTGCTCAGGGGAGGTACTGCGATGGAGCAAAGACACTTACCTCATAGTGGCCCAGGAGCTGTCAGGTAGGAGGGGCAAGGGTTCTAATATTTCAAGGAACACCCTCAATGACCTAACTTCTGTCTACAGTTTCCTTCATCTACCCATCTGCCTGCTACTGGCTACCAACTCAGTCTTTACCATGGCATTTTGGGTGGACATTTATGGTCTTTATGATCCAAGCCACTATAGCCCTCTCCTTGGGTTAAGACATGTCATTATGAAGCAGTGGACCAAGAGAGTGTTGTTTACCATGCTTTCCAAATCCCTTTGCCTGGAGCCCTGAAATATAAAAGAAAGGCTTGGCTTCAGCATTGATGAAACCAATCACCAGGACCAGTGAGGTGGCTCCATGGGTAAAGGTGCTTACCAGGCTTGCTGACCTGAGTTTGATCCTCAGGATGCATGCGACTCCCACAAGTGGTCCTTTGACCTCCGCACGTGGACCATGGCATATGCACACAAACATGCACGCACATGTACATGGTAAGTGGATAATAAAATAAATGTACTAAAAATTTACTGAAGAAAATTACTAAGCTTTTTCCTTTGGGCAAGTCATACCTCTGAGTTTATTGTGTTTATTCTTGTATAAAGTGGGAATAAATATTTTTCCTTCCTATCAGTTTATTTTAAAATTTTCTTTATATGTATGTGTGTTTTACCTGCATGTCTTTCTGTCTACCATGTCTACCATGTGTAGTGCCAAGGAGACCGGAAGAGAGTGTTGGAACCCCTGGGACTAGAGTTACAGGTTATGAGTTGCCATGTGGATGCTGGGACCTGAACCCAGAACCTCTACAGTCAGTTCTCTTAACTGCTGAGCCATTTTCCCAGCTCACCTCACAGCCAAAAGATAATGTGTGCAAAACGTTTTTATTCACATACTCTACAAAGGCAAGGCTACTATCGAATGGTACACTTTACATTCTTGCTCGCCTCTGTCCAACAGTACAAAGTGGATCCTTTTAGCCTTCTCTGACTTTGTGTCAGAGCGGACAAGGTGGTTTTTGTTTGTTTGTTTTGTTTATTTATTTTAGAGCTGGCAGTGTGGTGGATAAAGAGGAATTGTTTATAATTCTGTTTCCTTAGTACAAGGAAACCTCTCTGTGTTGGGCACAAGATGTAGAACTGCTTTATATAGGACTTGGACCAAGGAAAATCATGAGTGACATTTTTGTCCCAATCATCCAGTGGAAGAGAGCAGAAGAGCTATTGGATTTGGTGGAATCAGTCTGCCCTTTCTCCTCCCAAGTTCTCTTTTCCTGCCTCACTTATTCTAAATGATGTTAAACCCATAGGGGTGACTTGTAACACAGGTTCTAATTTGTCTTGATAGTAAAAACCCAGGCTGAGCAGTGGTGGTGCACGCCTTTATGCATGCCTTTAATCCCAGCACTCAGGCAGAGGAGGTGGATCTCTGTGAGTCAAGGCCAGCCTGGTCTACAGAGTGAGTTCCCAGGACAGCCAGAGATACACAGAAAAACCCTGTCTCAAATAATAAGAAGAAGAAGAAATGAAAACCCAGAGTCAGATATTGGGGGTGAAAGCTGAGCTTTCAGAGAAGCAGAGAGGGCAACCACTAGAGAAACCTCTACCAATGCTCAGACTGAAGGAGCAATCCTGTCCTCAGACTGCATCCTCAGACTTCATCTCCAGACCGCAACCTATCTCCAACTAAGCTTCAGATAGCAATGAGCTCCTGCCTCCTCCTACCTTATATTCCTCTCTTGGCCCAGCCATATAACTGCTGTCTCCACCTCCTTAGTGCTGGGATCACCTTTGTATGAATTCTGTTTCTCTTTTAGACTGGATCAGGGTGGCCTTCAACTAAGAAAGATCCCTTTGCCTCTGTCTCCTGAGTCCTGGGATTAAAGGAATGTGCCCACCACTCCCTGGCTATAGTGGCTTAGCTCTGCATTCTGATCTTCAGGCAAGCTTTATTTGTTAAAACACAAACAAAACATCACTATAGTGACTTGTATTACAAACTACTGAAAAGTAAAAAGAAACCTGGCTGGGTGTGGTGTCACATGTCTTTAACCTTCCTAAATATCTAGTGTTTGGTGGCCAGTGGAAAATTTGATTGCAAAAGGAAGACATCAGGGCTGGAGAGACGGCTTAGTGCACTTACTGCTCTTGCAAAGGACCCACATTCAAATCTCAGCTACCAGCTGTTGTAACTCCAGCTCTGGGGGATCTGCTGCCCTCTTCTGGTCTCCGCAGGCAACTACATTCACATACAAGCATCTGACCATAAATAAAATCTTTAAACAAAGGAAGACTAAATAACAAAATCTTTAAACAAAGGAAGATGGTGTTATGTTTGTACAAATTCACAGCTGTCCCAGCCCTCTGAATTGAGAGGAATAAAAAGCTGTGATTTTTTTCCCCCCAATGGTAGATCGCATTGCTTGCTAGCTTTCTGAGACAAGGTTTCATCTATAACTTAGACTGCTGAAATTCACAGCAGTGCCCTGCCTCAGCCTGGAGTGCTGCAGTGATAGCGTGTAGCACCACATCTACTTATTTCTGAGAGGACTGCTTGCTAAGTGTTATTGGCTGGTTTCCAACTCAGGCTCAGTCTTCTTGCATCGGCTTCCCAGGCGGGTGCACCACCACACTCACTTGACACAGGGTCCCATGTATGCCAGACTGGCCTCCAGCTTCTGATGCTCACCCTGGCCTTTCTAAAGTATTGCTTTTCTTGGGGGTTACTGAGGAACAAGATGATACTGCCTCTGCCTGTCTGCTGAACTGGTTGCTGCTTTTCATAAATTTTCTTCCACTTTTCATAGATATTTCTGATTAGCGTACAAAGTAATGGGTTTCATTAGTACATGTTCACACATATAACACTGTACTTTGTCTTCCCACACCACTCTCCCCTCCATTCATATCTTAAATTTACATATTTACATAACTTCTGTGTATTTTTCTATAGCTTAGCTTATCTCTTGGAGCTAGAACTGAAGCCCGTTTCCTAGGTCAAGAAAGCTCTGGATTTGTGCACACTATATTTTTTTAACTGCATTTGCTTACTTGAATCCTGTGTGTTGGGTGAACACTCTGCTGATGAGCTACACCCTCCAGCCCTCCTATCCCGGTGCTTTTAACAAGTGTGTTTCCTTCTTCTGTCTTCCTACCCTTTCTAAAATGGCTGTGTGGAAAGTTCACCTGCGATAGTAAAATGCAAAGACTGGAAATTCTTTACAGATAAGTGATCCTAGTCAACTTGTTCTGCATATTCACACACCACACAGTTCCCCGTTTTACTTGAAGGTTTTTTTTTTTTTGGTTTATTTATTTATTTTGTATCATGTTTTGCCTGTATGGCAGAAGAGGGCTCCATATCTCATTATAGATGGTTGTGAGCTACCAAGTGACTGCTGGGAATTGAACTTGGGACCCCTGGAAGAGTAACCGGTACTCTTTAACCTGCAAGCCATCTCTTAATCTCTGCGCCATGGAGTTCATATATGTTTTCATGTAGAGACTTAAGTATTACACAATAGAGTTAAAAATACAAGTAGCCTTTAAAAAGTTAAAAAAGAAACAAGTAGCCATTCAATCTGTCTCCATTCCTTTAGACTTCAAGTCAGTTTCCAAAAGCTCTGGAAATCTTTAAACACCTACACCCTATAATAAGGTAAAAGCTTCAGGAACTTGTGCCTTCCAGGACTCAGACTCTGTAACCTCTGAATGCCAACCGTTCATCCTAAAGTTTGTTCTGACTTCTTGCTGGTGTATGAGAACCTAGGCATTTGCTCACTGAAGCACTCACGGCAGAGTCTGGGAGAAGGGTTCTCTGAGTAGCTTTGGCGGGCGGTCATCTAGTTGGTAAACTCTCAAATGCTAACATCCTGTTAGAACATGTGGTGGCCGGGCACTAGGTATTAGAACAGATGAAGTACCTAGTGTTAGCAGATCCCATTGTAATGAGTCAGACCTTTGAGGGCTGAGGTGCTTGCTCAGCGTGTGAGAGCTCCTAGGCTCAAGCTCTAGTGCAGCCCAAAGAAGGAGAAGGGGAAGAAAGGGGAAAGGAAAACTCAATTTGAGGTTGCCTTGACAATTACAGCCTGGTGTGGCAGTTCACATCCGTAATCCCAGAAGAGACAGGAGTTTAAGGCCAGCCTGGGCTAT